ATAGAGAAGAGATTGAGTTGAGGAAAGAGGAGAGTCGCAGGGAGGAAGAGAGGAAAAGAGAAGAACACCAGAGATGGATAGAGAAGGTGAGAGGAGAGACAGAGGATAGAGTATGGAGAGAGATAGAGGATAGAGTACGGAGAGAGATGGAGGACGAGGAAGAGAGGAAAAGAGAAGAACACCAGAGATGGATAGAGAAGGTGAGAAGAGAGACAGAGGATAGAGTACGGAGAGAGATAGAGGATAGAGTACGGAGAGAGATGAAGGACGAGGAAGAGAGGAAAAGAGAAGAACACCAGAGATGGATAGAGAAGGTGAGAAGAGAGACAGAGGATAGAGTACGGAGAGAGATAGAGACAGAGGATAGAGTACGGAGAGAGATGGAGGACGAGGAAGTTAAAAGACAGAGTGAAAGGGAAAACATGGCAAGAGAAGAGAGATATAGGATACAGTACAGAGAGAGAGAGAGAGAAACTCAAGAGAAAAAAGCACAGTGCGGGGCAGCGATTCTGTCCATTTTATATATGAAACCAAAGCATTTCTATCTGATCAGTGCTTTAGTTGCAGTGGCCATGGGAGGCAATTGTGTGTGGAGCAAAAGCCCTGTGAATGTAACAGAGTTCATAAGGGGTTCTCTGATAGGGGTGTTAGCTGAGACAATGGGAGATGGATCATACACACTTACAGACATAGCCTGGGGACAGAATTTAAGACGGGTTGGAAGGTCTACTATAGCCACTGAGATCCAGACTGGGAAATCAGTTGGAATAGCAATGGGTTTCATAGGAACAGCAGCAGTTGGTGGATTGACAGGAAGGTTAGTTGGCCCAGGAGGAGGAGTGGTGTTAGGAGGATTATCAGGGTTGTTGGGAGGAGTTGGTGTGATGGCGTTAAGAAAACAATTCAAAGACTAGAAAAAAGCTGTTATTTCCCTGTGATGCACTTCTAAATTACAGCTCCACTTCCTGTCTCTCTAAATGGGAGGAGCTCTGATTGGGCAGTCGGTTAGAACATGGATAGTAGATTGGTATGCATCTTCCTATGAATACCCTCTTCATAATGACGTCATTCTATATTAAAATACCCTTTTGGAAAATGGTGTGAAGTGGGTGTACAAGACAGAGATACGTGTGTGAGGAGAGTACATAGAGATTACCCCTTGATGAGTACATATCATTCTCTATTTCATATTGGCCAGTATAACATTTAGCTTCATATGGCATTTTACAGTCTTGGTTATAATGCTCTATGAACTGCTAAATGTTTGTGAGCAGTTATTAGTGCATAAACTGTGCATTACAATGTATTATGCATAGCTCATAAGGAGTTAATAAATTAGCTTATAATGCATTATGAAAAGGCTATTCATAGGAAGTGTTACCAACAATATAATATGTTTTATTGTCACATACACCAGAGAGGTGCAGTGAAATGCGTTGTTTTACAGGGTCAAATTAGGGTCAAGGGCCTTGGTCAAGGACACATGGACAGATGTTTCACCTTGACAGCTCAGGTTGCTGGCCCAACGCTCTAACCGCTAGTCTACCTGCCACCCTGTCTTTGGGGTTCACTTTTCTACAGTCTACCATCTCATTCTTAATCTGTCTATAACATCAAAACAATCCTTCCACACATACTCTGTTTATAGACCAAGAACTGTTGGTGCTGATCGCCTATTACTAAATGTAATGATTTGGTTTGCATGTGAGAGGGGTGTTGAATACTGCAGTCATGTTGCATAGCTGGTAATGGCCAGTATTTCAAACAACAGGTCATTTTAAGATCTTGAAATGAACTAAACTAAACTTTGCAGTTTTTTCTGTTCTTAACAATGCCAAGAATCATATCTATCCAGGTTCATTACTCTGTAAAAACAAGTTTGTCATTTTGGATGGCATGTACAACACTTTATGGAATTCGGAAAATGATGAGCTGCATACCACCCTTTTCACATCTTAGTAGGGACAACTTGTTAAAGTCATGTACACCTTTAAAAATGTACTTTATATGCCTCACTTCTCTCAAATGCCTGTCCCATTTGTTTAATGTCAACAGTGAGATACGTGGAAATGTAAGCTTGTACAGAAAGACCTCATGTGAACCTGCGACTATGATTGTTATTGAAACCTTGTCCTCACCTAATGCGTTTGTGGTTTATTATGTACTCACTATCAAAGTGTTTATATGATTTTATAAATGTCCCAAGAGAGGACAAACAGTACTAACAGGCTGATAGCCAATGATGTTGAATGCAAGGTATGCATCATTTATCTCCACTGCTGAGAGACACCATTTACCATAACATCTGATGTGATCTTGATGTTAATGGCAGAGTTCTGATCTGGAGATAAAATGTAGAAAATATGTGAAGTATGTGGGACTAATAATGATACTGTTTCGGACATTAGAATAACAGGTTCTTTGTTCTCACACAGAGACATTAATATGCATGCCTCAGACAATGCAGTAAAATACATCAGAGCTGCCATCTTGTGTAAATAATAGAACACAACACAGAGTTAGAATTGGGTCAATCAGGAACAGCAGCTCAGATATTGGTATTCAAGGTGAATGTCCCCAGGTGTCTGCTCTACCTTCACAAACGTAGAATAGAATAGATTTGGAACTTCATTGTCCAGCTAACAATAAGAATGGAAATGTGTATTCTTCAATTCCTAACCCTCCTTATATGACACAGGAGAGGCTGGTAGCAGTTCAATGTCAGCTGCAGACCAGCACCCCTGAAGTAGTTACAGTATGTGCCTTGCTCAAGGGCACAACAGCAGTAGGCAGCACTTGATATTCTGACACCAGCAACCCTCAAGTTGCCGGATCACTTTTGGATTTTCCCCATCAGCACTGGGATTTGAACCAACAACCTTCTGCAAATGAAGGCGAGGTGCAGAATCGCTAATTGGGATGTAAGGTGATTTGTGTCAGTGATACGACTTCAACATACCAGCAGTACATGGATAGGTATGGAAACGAACATCTCATCTCATACTCACAGCTGTGGTGTGATTTAGTATTTTTCCATGAATCCCTTCTTCTTGAATAGTAATTTTGTACAAAATTCAATTCTAGTCTTAAATATTCCTCCAAAAGATGTAAATTGTTTCTGAGAAATCTTCTTATTGCATATGCTACATACAGCTAACTGACCCTAGAGATGCCGACCAGCTGACAGATACACACCTAAGCACACACTTTAAAATAATAATAATAATAAAACATCATATGACATATTATGCAGTCTTCCTTCCTTCTGCTTCTCAACCAGTAGATGTCAGTAGAGATCTTCATAACAACCTTTGTTCTGTCAGTGAAACAGCAGTGGATATTCAGACTGTAATCGTTGTACAAAACGTTTCCTCCCTCTGTCTCCCTCCACCCCTCCTCTTCCTCTCTCTCTCTCCCATGTAGACCCATGTAGACCACATTATACACCAGCAGCCATTTAGCAGGTGTTGACACTGTAAAACATATGTATAAATTATTAGTTAATGTTGTTTGTCTTTGTGTTGATAGAGCTGTGGGACCACATTATACACCAGCAGCCATTTAGCAGGTGTTGACACTGTAAAACATATGTATAAATTATTAGTTAATGTTGTTTGTCTTTGTGTTGATAGAGCTGTATATGATCCCCCCATTATTCATAAAAACAACCTACAGCACTGGTGTCATGCATTTCAGTCTGAAGTTTATTTATGTCTAAATAACTCGCTTTATTTAAAAATCGACTTGTTTAATGTGGTACCATAATGATTGATGTTAATGATCTGATGTAGATGTTATACAGATGAAATGCTTGTATACCATTGTATTATCCTATGTGTACATTGAGTCATACTGTGCCATATAGACTCCCTTGTACCTTCCATTTAAGTAGACTGTGTAAAGAACAAGCTAATAAAGTATCTTCCCTTTGAGCGATAACTCTGCCAATCATTTACTTTACTGTTAGCTAGTCTTTATATCAAGGCTACCTTCAAAGCTGCAATCTTCAACAAGGTTTGGCAGCATTGCATGAATAGGTATAGAAACTATAGCTCTTCTAGTTTATTGAAGAAAATATAAATTGTCTGTTTCATAGTCCTTCATAATAGTCCATAACTATGGCCTGGTTTAGGATTTATTGAAGGGTGACTATTTCATGGAAACCCGTTCATCTCAATAATATTTCTGTGATTCTTGTTCAAAACTAGTTCTACTTCCTCCCTCCAAATGGGAGTAGCTCTTCTAGTTTATTGAAGTAAATATCAATTGTTTCCTAGTCCTTGATAATAGTCCATAACTATGGCCTGGTTTAGGATGTATTGAAGGGTGACTGTTTCATGCTAACCCCTTCATCTCTAGTTCTACTTCCTCCCTCCAAATGGGAGTGGCTTTGACTGAACAGCAGAAGGGAGGTGATCGTGAACGTAGGAGACGGTACAGGGAAAAGAAACACTGACAAATGGCTTCATCAAGCACAACAAAACCCTGTAAGTTGACCGAGTTTATTGACAGTAGACATACCCGGTTACTAGCTATTGTTGTGAACATTTAAATATGTTTTTGAGCACCTCAGTTTACTTATATAACATCGTGTCCTCCCATGCCATTCTACTTTCACTTTCATTTGAGGTGCTCTGAAAACGTAATAACATGAAGTCGTATAACAATAAGTGTTTTTTTCACCATGGGAGTATGAATATATTCCATCCCTATCTTGGGTACAGTTTTTCTATTAGTTAGACAGCTCAGTGGGAATGAATAACCACATCATTGCAGATTAAAGTTATTTGTTACAAAACCCAGGGAGTATCAACGCAAGTGTGTAACTTTATGAAAGTAGCATATGCAAAACACATTTTCAGTGTGATGTTTTTTTTTTCTTCAAACTTTCAAAAACTACATTCTTCAAACTTTCTTCAAACTAAATTCACATGAACATGAGTGTATGATAGACAAGAGGATTTAATAATCTGTTAATATTGCAGTATGAATTTTATATGATGTATTCAATGTGTCATTCTGTAGTGGAGAAGGATGAAGACCCAGACAAACAGACTCTGGGTAGAAGAAGAAACTCCAAAAGTGATGGTCCAGACAGTAAGTAGAAAAATAGTATTATAATTGTTTTTGAACATTTACCAATAGTTTAATTAAATAGTCATATTTGTTTTGCGTTGACTATCCACATTTCAATTTGGCAGCCAGTCGGTAAGAGGAACGATTATTAATCTCAATTTACATTTCTTACGGGAGACCCACTACTGGGCCAACCATGATGTAACATTACTCATGTTTTCTCCTTTACCTCTCTCCTGTAGTGTCCATGACCAGGATTGTACTGGTGGGGAAGACAGGCGCTGGAAAAAGCTCTTCAGGAAACACAATCCTGGGGAGGAGAGCTTTTAGAGATGATAGATCGAGCTCTTCTGTAACTAAGGAGTGTTGTAAGGAGACAGAAGAGGTGGCAGGGAGGCAGGTCTGGCTAGTGGACACACCAGGATTATTTGACACAAGCCTCTCTGACAGTTACTTAGAGACAGAGATCAGTAAATGTATCAACATGACGTCACCTGGTCCACACGCAATCGTATTGGTCATGAACGTAGGGCCTTTCACAAAGGAGGAACAGAACGTAGTAAAGAAAATCAGGGCGTTATTTGGAGAAGAAGCTAGCAAGTATACTATGATCCTCTTCACCCATGGGGATGAGTTGGGTGAAGGTGGCATTAAGCAGTATGTGAATGAAGGACAGTCGGACCTCAAGAGACTTATGGAGCAGTGTGGTGGAAGGTACCATGTTTTTGACAACACCAAGATGGAAAAAAGGGGACAAGTTCTGGATTTCTTTGAGAAAATTGACCACATGGCGGCAGTAAACGGTCAAGACCACTACACCAACGACAAATACCAAGAGGTGGAGAGAAAGCTAAGTACCAGAGAAGAAGAGTTGAGGAAGCAGTATGAAGAAGAACTGCGGAAGCTAGAAGAAGAAGAGAAGAAACTGCCTCCCAGATACCAGGAGGAAATGAAGAAGCTACAGAGTAAAATTAAGACACTGAAGCAGTCAACGGAGGAGGAAGAAAATAAACTTGAAGAACTACAACTCCTGGATCAAAACAAAATCTGGCGAATCACGGAACACAAGCGTTATTATGAGAGGAAGTTGAGGGCTGTAAGGGAGGAAGCAGAGTTAACCCAAGATAACAAAGGAATGTCCACAGAAGTCTATAAAAAGTTACAGGATCTCCATCTCTGAAACAGCTGGTGATTGTGATGGTTGTGTTAATTTCTCCCCACTTTAATTTGTGCTCCCTACTGAACCACTTGCTGAATCCATCAGGAACTATGCTGGTATTGACAACCCAAGCTGGGAACAACAACCAATACAATGTAATTATATGTACAGTGGGGAAAAAAAGTATTTAGTCAGCCACCAATTGTGCATGTTCTCCCACTTAAAAAGATGAGAGAGGCCTGTAATTTTCATCATAGGTACACGTCAACTATGATAGACAAAATGAGGAAAAAAATTCCAGAAAATCACATTGTAGGATTTTTAATGAATTTATTTGCAAATTATGGTGGAAAATAAGTATTTGGTCAATAACAAAAGTTTCTCAATACTTTGTTATATACCCTTTGTTGGCAATGACACAGGTCAAACGTTTTCTGTAAGTCTTCACAAGGTTTTCACACACTGTTCCTGGTATTTTGGCCCATTCCTTCATGCAGATATCCTCTAGAGCAGTGATGTTTTGGGGCTGTCGCTGGGTAACACGGACTTTCAACTCCCTCCAAATATTTTCTATGGGGTTGAGATCTGGAGACTGGCTAGGCCACTCCAGGACCTTGAAATGCTTCTTCCGAAGCCACTCCTTCGTTGCCCGGGCGGTGTGTTTGGGATCATTGTCATGCTGAAAGACCCAGCCACGTTTCATCTTCAATGCCCTTGCTGATGGAAGGAGGTTTTCACTCAAAATCTCACGATACATGGCCCCATTCATTCTTTCCTTTACACGGATCAGTCGTCCTGGTCCCTTTGCAGAAAAACAGCCCCAAAGCATGATGTTTCCACCCCCATGCTTCACAGTAGGTATGGTGTTATTTGGATGCAACTCAGCATTCTTTGTCCTCCAAACACGACGAGTTGAGTTTTTACCAAAAAGTTCTATTTTGGTTTCATCTGACCATATGACATTCTCCCAATCCTCTTCTGGATCATCCAAATGCACTCTAGCAAACTTCAGACGGGCCTGGACATGTACTGGCTTAAGCAGGGGGACACGTCTGGCACTGCAGGATTTGAAACCCTGGCGGCATAGTGTGTTACTGATGGTAGGCTTTGTTACTTTGGTCCCAGCTCTCTGCAGGTCATTCACTAGGTCCCCCCGTGTGGTTCTGGGATTTTTGCTCACCGTTCTTGTGATCAATTTGACCCCACGGGGTGAGATCTTGCGTGGAGCCCCAGATCGAGGGAGATTATCAGTGGTCTTGTATGTCTTCCATTTCCTAAAAATTGCTCCCACAGTTGATTTCTTCAAACCAAGCTGCTTACCTATTGCAGATTCAGTCTTCCCAGCCTGGTGCAGGTCTACAATTTTGTTTCTGGTGTCCTTTGACAGCTCTTTGGTCTTGGCCATAGTGGAGTTTGGAGTGTGACTGTTTGAGGTTGTGGACAGGTGTCTTTTATACTGATAACAAGTTCAAACAGGTGCCATTAATACAGGTAACGAGTGGAGGACAGAGGAGCCTCTTAAAGAAGAAGTTACAGGTCTGTGAGAGCCAGAAATCTTGCTTGTTTGTAGGTGACCAAATACTTATTTTCCACCATCATTTGCAAATAAATTCATTAAAAATCCTACAATGTGATTTTCTGGATTTTTTTTCCTCAATTTGTCTGTCATAGTTGACGTGTACCTATGATAAAAATTACAGGCCTCTCTCATCTTTTTAAGTGGGAGAACTTGCACAATTGGTGGCTGACTAAATACTTATTTTCCCCCTGTATATGATATATTCATATTTGAGTAACATTTTGAACCATCTATCCCTGTCATCCTTGACATCATCTTTTTGTCATTTTCTGGCTATGAAATGGATTACTCAGAGGCTATGCTGCTGGTGATGTCACAGCTCTAACAAATTTCACATTTAAAGGGAAACTGAAACAATCATGACTACTTAACAAAAACGCAACAATCAAGTCTCCATTGTATGGTTAGAATGTGTTAAATTGTTGTAATTGCCACTACTTAGGCGATAAAACAGAATCTCAGCTCATTCCCTGTATAAAAGACACCTGGGAGCCAGACATCTTTCTGATTGAGAAGGGGTCAAATACTTATATCCCTCATTAAAATGCAAATCAATTTATAACATTTTTGACATGCGTTTTTCTGGATTTTTTTTTTGTTATTCTGTCTCTCTGTCACGCCCTGGCTCGGGGGACTCTGATATGTTGAGCCAGGGTGTGGAGTTTCTGTTACATTTTCTATGCTTTTGTTCTAGATCGTTTATATCTATGTTGGCCAGGGTGGTTCCCAATCAGAGGCAGCTGTAGCTCGTTGTCTCTGATTGGGGCCCATACTTAGGCAGCCTGTTTGGCACTAGTATTTTGTGGGATCTTGTTCCGTAAGGTTTTGTGTATAACCTAGGACTTCACGTATCGTTTCGTTTGTTGTTTTGGTTCGTGTGTGTACTTAATAAAGAATGTACGCTTATCACGCTGCGCCTTGGTCCGCTTCATCTGTCAACGATTGTGACAGAAGATCCCACCACCAGAGGACCAAGCAGCATGCCCAGGAGGAGAAGTTGGCGATGTCCCAGGTGGGCGAATGGTGGTCTTGGAAGGACATATTCGCGGGCAGAGGGCCATGGGCAAAAGTAAATGCCCAGGCAGGAGAGGAGAAACGGCGCCAACCGTGCGGACGACGGACACGCGAGAGGCAACCCCAATAAATGTTTTGGGGGGGGGCACACGCCGTGGACGACAGGGCTGCTGGAGGCAGCTACAGGACGAATCGGCGGACTAGGAGAGGAGGCCACCAGGTTTGGGGGTCTGGAAGGGTGGTTGGCGGAGCCTAGAGGTAGAGCAGAGCCAACTCCCCGTACTCAGGCTAGGCAGCGTGAGACTGGGCAGGTTCCGTGTTATGCGGAGCCACGTACTGTGCCGCGAGTGTTCCGGCACAGTCCTGTACGTCCTGTGCTAGCACCACGCACGTGTCGTGCTAAGGTGGGCATGCAGCCAGGATGGAGTGTGCCGGCTCAACGCTCGTGGCCTCCAGTACCCCTCCTCGGTCCCGGATATCCTGCGCCAGTGCCACGTGCTGTAGTGCCAGTACGAGTGCACAGCCCTGTAAATCCTGTGCTGATGCCTCACACAGATTGTGTGGAAATAGGCATTCAGCCAGGACGGGTTGTGTCAGCTCTCCGCTCCAGACCTCCAGTCATCTCCACAGTCCAGCCCGGCCTGTTCCTGTCCCTCGCACCAAGCCTGTGGTGCGCGTCGTCAGCCCGGTCCGGCCTGTTCCTGCTCCCCGCACCAAGCCTGTTGTGCGCGTCGCCACCCCGGTCCGGCCTGTTCCTGCTCCCCGCACCAAGCCTGTGGTGCGCGTCGCCAGCCCGGTCCGGCCTGTTCCTGTCCCTCGCACCAAGCCTGTGGTGCGCGTCGCCAGCCCGGTCCGGCCTGTTCCTGCCCCTCGCACCAAGCCTGTGGTGCGCGTCGCCAGCCCGGTCCGGCCTGTTCCTGCTCCCCGCACCAAGCCTGTGGTGCGCGTCGCCAGCCCGGTCCGGCCTGTTCCTGCCCCTCGCACCAAGCCAGTGGTGCGCGTCGCCAGCCCGGTCCGGCCTGTTCCTGCTCCCCGCACCAAGCCTATGTTGCGCGTCGCCAGCCCGGTCCCGCCCGTTCCTGCTCCCCGCACCAAGCCAGTGGTGCGCGTCGTCAGCCCGGTCCGGCCTGTTTCTGCTCCCCGCACCAAGCCTATGGTGCGCGTCGTCAGCCCGGTCCAGCCCGTTCCTGCCCCTCGCACCAAGCCAGTGGTGCGCGTCGCCAGCCCGGTCCGGCCCGTTCCTGCTCCCCGCACCAAGCCAGTGGTGCGCGTCGTCAGTCTGGCACGGTCCGTGCCTGTTCCAGGCACCGGTCAGCTGCTCCACACCGGAGCCAGAGCAATCCGCTCCACCGGTGTCCAGTCCAGTTCCGGCCAGCGGGACCAGACCAGGGGCGCTACGGGGGGGTAGAGAGAGAGTGGTGGTCACGCCCGGAGCCGGATCCGCCTCCGAGGCGGAATGCCCACCCGGCCCCTACCCCGTTGTGTTGGTGTGGCGTGGTCGCACATAGTAACAAAATAGCCAGAATAAAAAACATCACACAGCATACATTTGCATACATAAAATACAACTTTGGCTGTCTCTGGCACTCTGGATTTACTTTGCTGTCACTATCTGTTGTGCTGGTGCATGTGCCAACTTTGAATTGGTGCAACCTCATAGTAAAACATTTGCCTGGCTTCCCATCTACATCGCTCCGTCCAACTGATGTTTCTTCTCTACGATGAGTCTGGATTTGACTCTCTCCCAGACAATTTCTAGAATGCCAACACATTCTGATCGTTCTGATTGGTCCCATTAACGATACAATCACTGATTAATTTGTTTTGTACAACGCCCCTCATTTTGACGTCACACAAACAAATTCTAGGATGACAGTTTCAAACTGAATGTATGTAGTGATCGATAGAGCAGCATAATTAAAATTCAGGGTAAAGAAAAAAATGGACCTAAAGTGGGTTTCACTGCTATTTCTATTTCCCTGATGTTCCCCGAGATTGCATCCGCCACAAACACTTAGAATGTTCCAACTGGGCAAAAACTGGTTGAATCAACATTGTTTCCACGTTATTTCAACAACAAAAAATCTATGTGATGACATTGAATCAAAATGGAAAACGTATTTCAGGGATGTTTGTCTTTTTTTCACCCAACTTGAAACCTAAATCCAATGACATGGTTACCATTTATGTTGATTGGTGGATTGGTGGTGTGGCTTGGTAGGGGTGTGCCTTTCAAATAGTTATTGTTGGCCACCCGTGAGAATAAATATCATTCCAGTTCATCTGTTCTGTTGTGTTGTTATCACATGTTAAGGTTGAACACTGACAGTTTTGAAGCTTTAATGAGGCTTACACAAGTTTAAGAGTTCCTTAAAAGCCTATGCAAATCCCAATGTTGGTATAGTTACTACTTTGTTAAGAATATGTA